CATGCAGGACTCAAGCTACAGCCCCTCTCCACCTCGTATGAAGTACTGGAAAATATGCGTCAGCTACTTCCTCCTCCTTACTCACTTCCCTCTGTGTTCCAACTTCCTGTTCTCTGGGCTGGTCAGAAATGAGCTGCTTGGAATGAAGTCTGCTGTGGGAGGCTTCTTTCATTTACTGTTATGCCTTCAAGATAATATTATTATTGTTGTTGTTATTATATATATATTGTAATAAATAATGTTAGTAGTGCTGCCACTGATTTATCACTGTCACTTAAAATGATTATCACGGTAGAAATTAAAAAAAAACCTTTATGGCTCTTTTACACATTTTCAGCCTCATACATGACAAACATGCTGTTCTAGGTATACACTCCTAACCACACATGTACACACTCTCAGCATTAACAGTTTGTCCTCATGCTCGTTCTCTGAATCTCTTTCTCTCCTTTTTGTCACTGATCAGGGTCACAGTGACTATTAATAGCTGCAGAAGCAAGATGCTCAACAGATCTGATTAATACCAGAGAGCTAATTATTGCTCATTTACAGTTTCAGAATTATGGATTTTTATTAATATAAAAGCATGAATGAATAAAGAGATAGTAACCTTTCAACCAGCCATATGTCTTATCACTGTCTATTAGCAGTTTACTTTGTTTGTTGAATAGGGATGGGACAGTAGATCGAAATTCAATATATCATGATACAAAAACGTAAAATATATCACTCTGTCTAGCGATATATATCATGTGGTCTCCACACATCAGTGACTTCATATTTTTTTGTAAATTAGATAGTCTAATAGAATGCAAGTCACTATATCTGGTTGTTCTTTACATAATCAAACCAGTGCTAGAAAAGGGTAAAAAAGAGGAATAAAGTATTCTGGTTGTCATAGAATTTTTAATTGTGTCGTGACTGAATCAAATCGTACGCACCATATTGTGCATTTTAATTGTATCGAGGAAAAAAAATCACATTGGTCCATCCCTATTGTTGAAGGAGCTAAATATTAGAATTAGGAGGATACATACACAGTTCATGTTTGATGTATTTATACCACTGGCTTTCCTGAAGTGAAGCAAGGTGGCTCTATTATGTTGTAAACTCAGCACACTTTTAACTGTCATACATGTTTCCTCAGCTTCTGGTCCTGGTCTTGAAGCACTGTCTTTAGCCACCTTTTTTTTTTTTTTTTTTTAGAATGCAAATATGTCTTTGCGTTGCATAAAGGGGAAACATACCCTCACTGCTTACCATTCAGTACAATGCACTGATGCTTGTGGTTCATTAGAACCAGTGATAGAGCTAAATCCATATCATAGCACAAAGTGAGCTGACACCTTATGGTTCTAAAACTGGTTCTTTGATCAGTTTAAGTTTGTATTTTTGCCTATGCTATCTGAACTGGTTCACCACATGAAAGCATCTCACTGTTCTTTGTATTGCTTGCCAACTAGACCGTTATGGATGTTTTTGACTCTGTTGGGTCTAGCTTTCTAGCTCAAATTAATTTATGACTAAGTACAGGTTCAGTGCCAGAGGCTTTCAAAAAAGCGATTGTCCAGCCTATTCTCAAAAAGCCAAATCTTGACCCTTCAGTGTTTTCTAATTTCAGACCAGTGTTCAAATTACCTTTTTATATCTAAAGTTCTGAAGAAAATTGTTTTTAATCCAACTCCGGCCTTTTCTGACAGATAATGGCATTGAGGAGCAATTTCAATCTGGTTTTAAATCAAAACATAGTGCTGAGTCTGCGTTATTAAAATCAGTAATGATAGCCTGCTGGCTAGGGATGCCGAGGATATGGCTTTATTGGTGCTTTTAGATCTCACTGCTGCCTTTGATACAGTGGATCATGGAATCTTCTTATCTCGCTTGGAGCAGTGTGTAGGAATTCAAGGTACTGTTCTTAACTGGTTTCGATCTTTACTCACCAATAGAAGTTTTACTGTTAATATTGGTACCTGTTCCTCCTCTTCAACAATCCTTTCCTGTGGTGTCCCCTAAGGATCTGTGCTTGGTCCCATACTGTTCTTGTTATACATGCTTCCATTGGGATCTGTCTTAAAGAAATATGGCCTTTCTTTTCATTGTTATGAAGATAACATTCAGATTTACTTACCGTTGAAGGCAACAAGAGGGATGTCATTACAGCCGTTGTTTGACTGTCTGACCGACTTAAAATCATGGTTGGCACTTAACGTTTTAAATCTCAACAAAAAATAAAACTGTGTGTGTGCTATTTGGAGACTTGGCGAACATAACCTCTTTTGACCAGGGCCTGGGCCCCCTGTCTTATCTGAAGTCGACTGTAAAAAACCTAGGGATGATGTTTGATGGCAACTTAAGATTTGACAAGCAAATAAACTCAGTTGTGAAATCTAGCTTCTTCCACCTGAGGCTGTTAAGTAAAGTCATCATTCCTCTCTTTGTGATTTTGAGATTGCAATCCATGCTTTTATCACTTCCCGCCTTGTTTATTGCAATGCTCTGTACTATGGTGTTAACCAGTCCTCCCTCTCTCGTCTCCAGATGGTTCAAAATGCTGCTGTTCGTCTTCTGACAAGTACTAGAAAATTTGAGCATATACAGTGGTGTGAAAAAGTGTTTGCCCCCTTACTGATTTCTTATCTTTTTGCATGTTTGTCACACTGTAATGTTTCAGATC